GCCCTGGGGGAGCTGAGGGACCCGCGCTGCGCCCTGAGGGAGCGGGGCTGGCTGAAGGCTTTTAAGGAAGGTTTTCCCTTCGCAGCGTGGCCGGGCTCGCGTTGGAATGTGACCCCTTGGCCGTGAGTCGAGCTGTGTGGGAAATAGCTTCCCTCCCAGGACTGTCCAGATTTCAAAAGCAAATTCTGCCCCCAAATTGGCAGAGAAGTTAAAACAGCAACACACTGTCACAAACAGAAGACTCCACCGCGGTTCCTTACTCATCAGGCCCACGCGGGAGCTCCCGGCACGAAGGGCCGATGTGGCCCAGGCTTTTTCCACACGTCTGCATCTGCCCTCGCACTGAGCGCGGCGGCTCCACGGCGTCTCGGGGCTTGGGGTTGCTGTGCGAGCGAATGGGCCGCCTCGGGGAGACGTGCTGCCCTCGGCTGTGGCTATATAAGGCTCTGCACAGACACTGCAGCCCTGAGTCACAGGAGCTGAGAGCAGCTGGAGCGCTTGTGCCAGGACTGCTCCTGGGAACGTTGGCCGGGATCCCGAGGAGAAGGGCTTGTCTGACGCTCTGCTCCCGGGCAGCCATAGGTACACGCGAGGCGGCGGGTGTCATTTCCAGCGCGAGGAGCCCAGGCACGGGCGCGCTGACTGAGTCAATACGCTGCAAACAGCTCTGTGCTCACGTCCCAGCAGGCCGTGGGACAAGCCCAGCCCCCCACGCCAGGGCGGCCAGGCGGCTCTCCAGGCTGACAGCCGGGTTCCCTCAAGCAGGGTCTCAGCCCTTCTGGAGTCCCCCACGTTGCTGTCAAAGGCCACAGCCCCGCTGTGCCACTAGAGCTGGGCCAGGCTGAGGGGTACAAGCAGGGCTGGGGCGTGGGCCTCGTGCCACGGGACCCACCACAGAGCTACACGGCTCAGGCTGAGGGCCCAGGCTCCAGCTGTCTGCCCTGGGCCCCAGCACGTGTACACCTGGCTCTGCTTGTGGGGTGCAGCGGGGGGCTGTCTGCGCCGTACCCGGGTCCCACTGACTCACCCACATGGGCATTGGCCCAGACCCCCAGGCCAAGGCTCCTCCCGGGCACCTCTCTGCAGGCTGTGCCAGGCAGCAGCAGTGTCCCCCCGCCTCCCAGGGCTCAGGGCGTGGCTAGCGAGTCGAGCGGCGCGGCCACTGAGCTCTCAGCAACAGTGCGGCGGGGGGCAGGGGGCAGGGCGGGGGCGCGGC